CGAAATAATTCAAATAAATACAAAATTACAATGTCAATAGAAATAATTCAAAAAAAAAAATTACATTAAAAATTAAAAATAATTATCTTAGTAAGTTATTGCATTTCATTACATTTTACAAGTACAGTGGTCCAGTGATTATTTATAGGACACTCATACCTACCCCCTACAACCTTCAAGATGCTATTGTGGCTGTCGTAAACTCTCTTCATGAGAGAGGTAACTTTTTTGCGCATTATCGCGTAGAAGTCATTTGTTCGCGCTTCGGCAAACATACCTGACGCGCTGCAGCGCCAAAAATACCCAAATAAATATCTCATCATATCCTAATTTCAAGTATTTAGTATTAGCATAACTTAACGTAACATGCTCAAAGTATAATGATATTCAATAAAATAAAGCAATAGGCTTTATTTATATTTCAGACAAAAATGCTTGGGTTTAAACTGTTCCAAATGTTCCGGCTGGGTTTTTCTATAATTATGATGAAGATGATATGATTTCGTATTAACACCGTAACAATATAGTAATTTGTAAATATTGTTACATAATTATTTAACGCTAGATATGAAGTTTCTATCGCCAGGTTTTCGCCACAGCTAAAAAAATGTCGTTAATGGTGGTCGAAAGTCGACTGGTGGTAGGGGAAAAAATATGGACGATTCAACAGTTATATTTTTTTTTTAATTTATTGGCAATGGATACCAAAAGAGTTCTATTGTGCACGGGGTGACCAGGTCTTTTCCAAATACATACCGAACAGTGAGAAAAAAAAAACAGTTAATCATTATTTAAATTAATAGAAAGTACCATTGCACAAGAGTAACTAGCTAACCTAACTTATAAAATTTATATTTTTTTCTTACTAATGCACGCTTCTAGCAATGTCTTATTTTCTTTAACTTTTTTTTATGTTATAGGGGGCATACGAGCAGACGGCTCACCTGATGGTAAGTGATCACCGTCGCCCATGGACACTTGCTACACCAGGAGTATCACAAATGCGATGCCGGCCTTTAAGGTTCTTGGGTCGTATGGGTCCGGAACACTGCTGGCGACAACATATTCCACAGTTTTGTCGTACGTGGTAAAAAATTTCGACAAAAACGCACGGTTGTGGCCAAGATCCAAGATCCAAGAGCCAAGAGAAAGATCAAGATGATGGGGATGAAATTTTTGTCGCGATGTACGATGGCGAAATGCAGCAGCTGGAATTAATCCGAACAATTCCTCAGAACACTCCCCGTGATAAATGCGATAGAAGATGCAGAGCGAAGCTACATCCCTATGCAAAGTAAAGGATCAAGCTGATCGGAAAGGTCCTGGTCGTCGACGATTCGAGCCGCGAGGCGCTGGATGCGATCCAAAGGGAGAAGCTGGTACTGGGGTGCCCCCGCCCAAAGATGAGAGCAGTACTCCATGTGAGGCCGAACCTGTGCCTTATAAAGCTGCAGTCGGTGGGCCGCTGTGAAGTACATTCTCGATCTATTGAGCACACCAAGCTTCTTAGAGGCCAATTTGGCCTTGCCCTCTAAATGATCCCGAAACTGGACGTCTCTCGATATGTCAACGCCAAGAATTCCAATACTAGCTGAGGCAGTTAGAGGAGTGTTCTCAAAAAGAGGAGATTCGACAAATGGTATTTTTTTTTGCGGTGAACGCGCATACTTGTGTCTTCGTAGGGTTAACTTGGACTAGATTAAGTCGGCCCCAATTCGTTACTCGGTTTAACAAAGTTTCGACTTCAGACACAAGTTTGTTCCGGCACTCGATGACGTTTTCGTTTTTTTCTTTGACTGTCCCATGCATTTCACGACATGTCTAATTGAAATTAGACATTGGTTGTCAGTCCACAAATGGTTCATATGGCTAAATACTCTTTCCACATAAGCATTAGTACATGATACTGCCATCCGCATGTACGTATCCATGTGTATCCAATTTGAAGAGTTTTTGGCGGGATTTCATCGTGTGGATATTGTGAAATAAAATTTGTGTGATTTTGTGTTACAACCATCTGCGCAACTGAAGAATTAGTGGAATCTTTAAAATATACTCTATTCCGGTCAAGTGGACGTGAGAGCTTTATTGTAGTGATGACTACCTCACAGAAGCTTATCGAAAAAACCAACTCGATACATTTCGTGCCAAACACTCCAAGAAACAATAGAATGCGTCACACCGACTTTCTAATGTAAAAAAAAGAAGAATAAGTTTTGTATTTATGTATACGACTGAAGGACTTGTATCCATGGTCATGAATAAATTATATATAAAAAAAAAACAATTTGAAAAATTTTTGCCTTTGAAAAAAAGTTAATATTCATCTATGATATTACCCTTCCTTTTTATTATAGTTGGCATGCGTCTGAAGAAAAAGTCGGTATAATTTTCAACGAATTGTTATTTTATTGCTCTTACAATTTGTTTATGTATTAAAAGAAGTAAAAAAGCGTATTAAAGTCATTTTTATATCGAATTATCCAAATAAAGAAAATTTTAAAATGTGATTCAATATTTCATTGTACTTATCTGTTAACTACAATAACATTTAATGAAGGAAGCCCGGCATAACACGAATCCTACGAGGTCTGAAGGAATTTTCGTAAGATGCGCCCATGTATTCATTGCCATCTCCATCTTCGTGACTCAAAGATCTCTTCTCAAAATGATGCAAAATAGATCCATCATCATGAGCATCTTGGTCTTCTGCAGCTTCACAGAGTACAACAACAGCCACACAGACAAACAATAAAACAGCTGTTAACTTCAAAGCCTCCATTTTGTTTTGAAACAATTCGCTCGCTTCCAACTTTTTCACCCAATTCAAGTGTTATCTGTCTAATATTTCTTTTACATATCTGTCCACTAATACTTGTGCCTTAACATTATATATTTGCTCCTTGTTTTCTCTTTTAATAAAACTTGTGTTTGTATTATCAGTTTTATTTGTTCTATAATATGCGTCGGTCCTGCATTAACACCACTTTAGAGATATTATCGGGTTTTCAATAAGTAAACTGTAAGTTATTACTTAGCAATACAAAACAAACAGAACGATGTTCCATTGTTTAAAAAAACCCGACAAGTTCCAGTCAGTCTCGCCTTGCGTTGCCATCCGACCGGATAAAGCCGGACAGTGTAATGATTTTTGAACTCATTTCCGGCTCGACCGGCTTTTGGGAGCCTTTTTTAGACGCAAGCAAACCGCACACTTCAACCGTTCGTGAGACGAGACAAGACGATTAAAAATATGCTTTAAATGAAAATTAAAACTTTCTTGTAAAATACATACATGTACTTTATTTGAACATTTGGCCAAAAATTCATTTTTTTGAGGTCCGGCCGGCCGTGGGATCAAAAAAGTCCTGTTTTCTGATTTTTAGAGATGGCCACGGTACTGTGGCGATCTACCCTGAAGGGATAGGCCCTGGGAGCGTAGCAATTTATTGAAACAACTTTGATTTTATGTTGGTTTTATTAGATTTCAGGCGAATATAATATATATGAGTTTAATCTATTTAACGCATGGTTTGGTGCCTGAAGTCTATATGATGTAATCTTCTATCAAAAGACAGACGATTCCTAATTTCAAATATTAAAATCATGACATTAACTTTTTAATATAACTGCCAGCCGTAGGCATTACATGAACAAAGAGTTTACGAAAACAAGGAGGCTGTAACGTAACGGATGTTACAGTACCTTGCTCGTCATGGGTTCCGTACGAATTTGTAGGTACGTAACATAAACGGCCTTTTTTACGTTACTTAGAAGTGCTTTTTTACAGCTTCAAGGGACCACACACTTGAGTCATCATCATCCTCCTATTAATGTCCTCACTGCTGGGGCACAGGCCTCCCCTATGGATGGAATAGGGAGATTTGGCCATGTATGTCGCATTATTTTATTTTTTACATTTTAAATTGGGTAACGTTGTTCGTATACTACCTTTTTCTTGTCCCATACATAAAAATTCACTGGTGTCAAATCAGGGCTCCTTGCTGGCCATGGTATGGGCCCACCTGTCGCAATCCAATTATTTGGATAGCTCTAGACTAGTACCTAATACACGAACACTTCTTCGGTAATAATAAGTTAAAGAGGCATCGTCTTAAAACCACATGTTTCGTCTCAATTGAAGATGTAAGTTTCCCATTAAAAGGGATAATAAAAAAATAACAGGTTGGTTTGTAAAAAGTGGATAAAGAAAAAGAATGAGAATTTGTGGAAGAAGTAGAGGCGGCAATGTATAATTTGAATCGTAAGTAATAAAAAAAACGTGTTTTTCATTTTATAAAATGTTTTTCAGTTTATTTATGCACTTTTACTAAATAGAAGAAGAATGAAAAAGAAAGTGGTACAATAAATATGGCACCACTTTCTTCTTCATTGGAATTTTTCTTGGAATTTTGTACCATTTTGGATACCTTAAAATATGTGCAAGTAGGTAATTATTATAACTTGCAGGTTAACTTCCATACAACTTTTTTTAATAAAACTATTAAAAAGTTACGAAAACAGAGTGAAAAAATCTACTTAAACAGTTTAATAGCTGCTACTTTAACCAGATACATGTTTTCAAGTTTAATTATTATAGCTACTAGCATGCCTTCTACATAAAATCAGTAAAAAGTCTGACCCAAAAACCGAAAATAAAAAAAACATAAAATTAGCGCAAACAATGGTACTTTTAAGAACTACTTCAAACCCATTTTTGAAACGATTAACTTTTCGACAGTAGGTCATAGGGTCAAATCTTTCAACAATGACCTTAATATTAATGTCCTTAAATATCTACGTCTACTTTTTCTGTAACCCTGTATACAGATAGACAGAAGATAATGCGAGGAACTTAGGTGAACTCCGGAATCCAACATTTTTTACGATTAAATCCACAAAACATACATCACTCGAACAAAAAATATCGATTCATTGTGTTTATCGACGTGCTCCGCAGTTTAAATGATAAGTAGAATCAACCGGAGTGCGTGACACAAAATTACTAAAACAAATAAGTGCATTTCATGTTGAACAACCTCGTGGATGAAATCACTCTTTGTTGTGGTGCTTAGTGACGTCACAATGAAATACTGTAAGTTAATAACTTTGTAGTACTTTGTTTTCTTATTAAAGGTTTACCAAAAACAACAATGATCTATAATTTAGGTAATCGGAGATTACTCACGACATGTTGTGCAAAAAGTCATTTGAGTTTGTAAGCGCCCATAGGTGCGATATTACCGGTTGATAATATCGGATACGTTATTGCGATATTTCGTCATACTTCTAATGCGTCATTATTATGCGCAGCAGTGTAGAACTTCATAGCCATCGCAGTAACGCATTCGATATTTGTCAACCGATAAAAACGCGTCTATAGGGGGAGGCCTAAAGCTGATGTTGTGACTTTCAATTACATTAAATTTAATTAAAGTTATATTGTTTTAAACTTTCATGGTCACTAACATTATAGCTATTAACGGGATTGTTACCATATACCTTGTTTTTTATGAGTCTCCGATATTTCGGCACTGTTGCAAGCGCCATGATCACGGAGTAACTGTTACTCCGTGACAATGGCGTTTACTCATAACAAGGTACGTGGTAACAATCCCGTTATAATTTAATTATAGTGTCTATGTGCGGACGCACGTCTGTCAAGATAATAATATCTGGCACAGGTTTCCTTGCCCCATCAAGTAGGCCAGGTGCAGATTGTTGGGTGCTAACGACTGCAGATGCAGCCAGAACCAATGGCTTAATGTCAGGGGCGTATTTAGCCTAGAGCCAAAAGGGGCAACAGCCCGCGGCAGCTGCAAGAGCTGTCAGAGGCAGCAGAAGCCATATAAAGGCATTCGTTACTGAACTAGGACGATGGACTGATTGACGACCTCCGTGGCCCAGTGGTTTATGCGCCGGGCTTAATGGTGTCACTGACTCGAGAGGGTACGAATCCCGGTGGGAGCAAATGTTTGTATGATGAATACGAGCATAATAAGAAATTAAATAATTCAATCCTAAGGCGATTGTAATAGAAACTTGATAGAAATAAAAAGATAGTTTAACCAAACTTAAACCACTTAACAACCTTTTATTAATAAATTGTTATTTATCTAATACAAAATATCTCGTCCTCTGGCTCGAACACATGCGGAGATCCTCCTGGGCATGCTGAGGATCAAGTTATCCAGCATTTCTTGTGGTAACCTGTCCCATTCTTGAACAGCAACTTCCCCGAGCTGTGGCACTGACTGGGGTGGTGGCTGCTGGTTCCAAACAGCTCGCTTAAGAGCATCCCACGCGTGCTCTATTGGGTTTAAGTCAGGAGAGCCGGCAGGCCAGTCTAACCTTGTGATTTCGTATTCTCGGAGAGCAGCATTGACTCGTTGAGCTCAGCATTATCGTCTAAAAACTAGTACAAATTGGTGCCCATGGTTTACTCGGAAAGGTCTGTCGATTCCATCAATAGCGACTGTTTTGTATCTGTCTGACGTCATGAAGCTTTGATAAGGGATTAAAGGCGTTCTAGCCCCAGTCATAATACCACCCCAAAAGGACACTGAATTCCCGCCTTGAACCGTTCCAGTGGCCGTTCTTTACCTTTCAGTCTCCAGGTCTTCGCGATTCATCAACGAAGAGGCAGTTTTGCTAAATGTTTTCCTCTTCGTCCTCTTCGCTTTGCCAGAGCCTAGTCCACTGTAATCTCTGAGCAGCTGTCAAAACAGTTGGGCGACCGCTTCGGGGTCGATCAGCTAAAATACCCATGCCGTGGTACCTCTGCAACGTGGCTACTACACATGATTGGGATATGGCGTCTCTGCGTGCTATTTCTCTCGTAGAATAGCCTTCTTCCCTCCAAGTTACAATTCTGGCTCGTAAAACATCTGATAAACCTCGTGGCATTTTTTAAATCACAACTTTCCGTGACCAACTATTTTAAATTTGATAATATTGACTAAGTCTGATTTCTGAATGAGTGTCAGCTTGGATTGCATGTCTTTTTATATGGAAAAACGAATGAATTATTTTATTGTTTTACGTTCTAATTGTAATTTTAAAATTGAGAAACTTATCAGAAAAATAAATTACAAAAAAATCATCTGTAACACAAAAAACAATCTATTTTTCAAACTGATCGCAAACTTTTTTTGATGTGTGTATGTATTCTATCCGTTAACCTAGTATCCCATAACACAAGCCTTACAGTGCTTACTTTGGGGCTAGGCTAATTGGTGTGAAATAAAAAAAAATACTGACTCTAGGGGTGGGGAGTTGCACATCGTAAAAGACCGGGGCGCCAAGTTACAAAATACGCTCCTGCTTAAAGTCAATTTCATGCGAGTCACTGTTTTTATGCGTTTAGCTGGACAGGCGAAACTATTTTTTTTTTTTATGTCTTCTTTTAGTTGTCATAATCCTCCTGTTGGCTTTGAAAACTCATTCATCCGAGCAGAGAGGGGTCGTGGAGGACTTGTCTTGTCCAGCTTGCGTTGGCAGATTGGACCCAGTGTGTGGATCGGACGGAGTCACGTATAGAAATGAAGAGTGTGCGCTGTGTCTAAACCCGTCCCTAATCATCAGCAGTAGACACACCTTCTGCCCGAGACTGGACCTCGTGTTCCAGTAACTGCCAATCTCCCAGTGATGCCAAACTATTAGCAATTTAAGATTATTTTTTTCTGGTAAAATTTTCTTTAGATTCAAACATCTAGCAGTTAAATGCTCAAAAATAAGAAATTGTTGTCTGTAAAGTCGATATACGGACGGACGATGAGTTCCAACAGTTCTGCTTTCAACAAATTCATGTCAGCTTCAAAGCCTTGTCTTTGTAGCCACGCCACTAAATGAGCCTTTTTATGTGGAGCGCCGGCATTATAGTTTAGTGTATTAGAGTTACTGATTAGAAATACACACATCAAAAGTGTCTAGGGATCAACATATATTTTTGCAATAACTTTTCTCCTGATTGATATTAATTAAAATTTTCTTTAAGGATTCATCAAATAAAGTGTTTTCGTTTGTCACAGTAACGATAAACCAAGTCACCTTTGCATTAATAAAGAAATTTGCCATTTTCCTAATAAAGGGATTTTTGACATTTGAACCACTAACACAAAAGTTCGAAAAAAAGACTGAAATAACAGTTTTCTCTAAAATTTTATTGGGTAACTTAAACAATTAATAATCCGTATTTCTACCGCGAACACTAACAACACAAGAACATCGGTTTGGCATACTCAAAATGAGTTCATCCAAATCACGCTGTGGAATGGCCGCCCATGTTCGTTGCAACAACAAAAAAAGGTCTTCTTGCGACTGGATACCCTCCATATTCGGCAGAGCTCTTCTCTGTAGCATATCCCATGCATGCTCAATCGGGTTCAAGTCTGGCGACTGAGCAGGCCAGGGCAGGACATTGATGTTAGCTGCGGCGAGAGTCTGTCTTACAACTCTTGCGGTGTGCGGTCGTGCATTATCATGCATTAACTGAAATAAGGGACCGATTTGCACTTGTAGAGGAACGATGACGTCTGATACAATCGTCTCAGCATAAATTTGAGCGTTGAGGTTGCCTCTGATCCAAATCAACTCAGTTCTTCCGCCGATCCAAATACCCGCCCATACCATGATGGTTCCACCACTATAAGGATGGACTTCCTGGCAGGATTTTAATCGCTGTTGGCGTCCAGGGGTTCTCCAGTGTCGTATACGTCTTGTATCCGGTCTCATACCAAAACGAGACTCATCAGAAAAGCACACGAAACGCCATTGTTCTTCTGCCCAATTTCTGTGTTCAAGAGCACATTGATATCGAATCCTACGATTGTGCATTGCTATAGGTGGTACCCGTAGCGGTCTTCGGGAATGAAGGTTCACTTCATGCAAGCGGTTTCTGACTGTTTGGTCGCTAATTAAGTTCCCTGAAGAGTGATGAAGCCTCACGGCTAACATCATGGCGGTTATTGTTGGAGCTCTTCGAGTTAAGATTTGAATGTATCGGTCTTGTCTCCGTGTGGTGCAGCGATACCGTCCTCCATGGCGCTCAGCCACGGTACCAGTGCTTCGGTATCGTGTCCAAAGTCGACTGATAACACTCTGACTTGTATTCAGAGCTAAAGCCACAGTACGTTGCCGGGAACCAGCTTCTATCATTCCCACGGCTCTGAGCATTTCTTCCCTGCTTAAATGACGTCGCCGCTCCATAATAACGTTGGTTTTAATCAGTAGTAGGGAAACAGTAGCACTAATAATGTCTTCAATGCGTTGTATGTTTTTATAGGGAAAATATTGACAGCTGATTTTCATCTTTTACTCGAATTTGATTCACAGTTCCTGATTCAAATTATGAAATGCACCAAAAAGGATCCATATAAATTTATAAAATCATAAATTTATTACAAAGCCACATCTCAATCTCAAGAAATCCGCATAAAAATGCTTGATCCCTAGACACTTTTGATGTGTGTATATACCGATATATGTATAACTAGAGGTCGCCCGCGACTTCGTCTGCCTTAACTTAGTTTTTTGAAAATCCCTCTGGAACCTTACATGTTTTAGGGATAAAAGTAGCCTATGTGTGAATCTAGGGTGTCAGCTAACTCCATACCAAATTTTATTAAAATCGCTCCAGCCGTTTAGACGTGAAGAAGTAACAAACATACACACTCACATTCTCACACACTCACAAACTTTTACCTTTATAATATTAGTGTGATTAATTACCTACCTGTGTTATTTGTTATTATTGTTACACTTTATTCCGGCATTCGCAAATCACCTTTGCCATAAGGCGCTGGCTGAAAATCAGCCCTCTGTGGTATCGCGAAAGCGTTTACCACAGAGCCAGAGCCTAACTGAGACAGCGTCCTATTGGCACGCACCTAGTAATTAGTTCCCATGTTATTTTATTATGTCTATTATAATAACCATTTCGTTTTTCTAAATTAATGCTGTGAAGGCCAATAAAATGTCTTTCTTACTTTCTTTCTTCTTTCCTTTATGCTTATGGTTGGTGCTTTATCTATTTGAACTATGTGGTAAGGTGTATTTCCCATAATTATTATGCCTGCTCCTGGTAAACGTAATGTGGGTCCTAATGTTATCTCTGCTGTGCTTACGTTGTTATTGTTTTTGTTCAGGCTGCACGAAGTCCCAACATTACCCTTGGTAATCCGTCTACCCACGATGTACCATTATTTAATAAACGCATCTTTAATGATCTGTGGAAACTTTCTATCAATGGGCTTTGCGGATGATAACTTGTAGTACGGATAATTTTAATACCTAACATTTTCATCAGTGCCGAATACAGCTCACTCTCGAATTGTCTGCCTTGATCACTAGTAATTTCCTTCGGATAACCATATCTGCATATCCAATTTTCGTAAATGGCTTTACTTACTACTTCTGCTGTGATCTCGTTTACTGGAACGGCTTTTGGACAACGTGTAAATCTTATAGTAATAAGTTATTTACGGGATTGTTACCATGTACCTTGTTTTTAGCGAGTGTTCGATATTTCGGCACTGTTGCAAGCGCCATGTTCACGGAGTAACTGACCGCTATCTCAACGCCTCCTCGCATCACCACCACAGTTACTCCGTGATCATGGATGGCGCTTGCAACAGTGCCGAAATATCGAAACCAGTTTTCGATAAAAAATAAGGTAAATGGTAACAATCCCATAAATAACTGATACTATAATGTTAGTGACCATGAAAGTTTAAAACAATATAACGTGTAAATCTATCTATCATAGTGACTAAATATCTATATCCCTCGCTTGAAGTAGGTAATGGACCCATTATGTCCACGTGGATGTGCTCGAAACGTTCATTGGGTCGAAATTACCCTTATTTAGATACTGTATGACGTTAAACTTTGACTTTCTGACACGATATGCATTTTTTACTCCAATTAATAACGTCTCTATTCATGTTAGGCAAAAAAATAATTATGAGTAATCATTTTCTTAGTACTGCCAATCACTGGATGGATAACATTATGTACCTTATCAAAAACTAACTTCCTAAATTGCTCTGGTATGTCATCATACTCATTATCAGCCTATTAATATCCCCACTGCTGGGGCACAGGCCTTCCCTATGGATGGAATAGGGAGATTGTGCCATGACTAGGGATGCAAAGTCTTTTGAAATATCGATATTTATATCGAAGTCAGGAAAATATCGATATCCGATATATCGACGATTTTAACTCGATATTATCGATATATCGATATTTTTTTGCTTTTTTGCTTTTTATTAAGTTTGCATAGCAAAAACCTAAAATTAAGGAAGCAAAGGTTTCCAAAATATCGATATTTATAATGTGGGCAGGTAAATATCAATATCCGATCCGATATATCAGCCATTCCAACATTTCCAACACGATGTTTATAGATATTTTCTATATTTTTACAGCGCTGTAAGAAGTATCAAATCAAAAGCAATTTCGAATCAAAGATATTTATTTTGTTTAAAATGTTAAAACATGAGGGGCGTGCCCATGGCTTCAGAAAGGGTAAGCTCAAAGCTTTCAAAATTACTATACCTATCTTACTTTCTTGACTTGGCGAGCTTAAAAAAATTACGATTTGTATAAGATTCTTAATTTTATTTTGTGTTATATTACAATGATATTAAATTTCAATTAATCAGTAGTTGACAATTATCTAGAAAGAGAGGCAAGGATTTTATTTAAGTACATGAGTTGCCATTAGGTATACAATTATACCTATATACGTTGGTGTCGATTCTGGCATGATTATCTAAACTTAAAACTAAATTTAACATCAGTCTCTCCTTTTCATTCTGTATAGAGAATGACAAGGATACACTGTTCACTTTTCTATGCGCCAGCCTTGTCATGGGTTTACAAATCCTAACTTATACGCACACCAATGCCAATATCCTTCAGTCAATAAATGCGATTGCCCTTTAATACAGAACACATCCCATATAAAATATCTTGGTATCTTAATTAACGACACATTATCTTTTAGACATCATATTGCAAATTTATCTAGTAGTCAGGATCCGTAAATTAATGCATATTTTTTAAAAATTACGTACCATTGCAGGTCCAAAACTTATTAAACAGGTATATCAGGCCTTATGCCAATCAGTAATTCAATATTGTATAACTTCATGGGGTGGAGCTCTCAAAACTATTTTAATCCCTCTCGAGCGAGCTCAGAGAGCCATTTTAAAAGTAGCCAATTCACTTCCTTTCTTATATCCTACGCATCAACTTTACAAATACTGTAATGTGTTAACTGTTCGCCAGCTTTTCATTATGCACACCATATTAAAACAACACACCATTTCACCTTTTTGCTCTGATATCACTAACAAAAGACGGAAAGATAAAGTCTGCATCTCTACACATGATTCAAAATACATCCTTTCACATAGATTCTCTACTTTCCTAAGTCCTTTCTTATATAATAAGTTAAATAGAGTATTAGGTATTTATACATTAAACTATTTTAACTGTAGAACTGTAGTATTTAATTATTTGCACAGCCTGACATACGAGCAGACCGAAGAATTACTTCTTATTTGTAAATAAATGAACGTAACTCCATAATTTACATTTACCAACATTAATATAATGATTACTTTAAGTTCTGTTTTAATTAATTTGTTAATTTATTAATCATTCAATGTATTATTTAGATCATAAAAGCCTGAAATACAGGTACAATTTTAACTGTAACCTAGTTCAGGCATCCATTATTTTGTACTTTATATTGTTATTAGTATTATTATGCAATGTATGACCTTATTTGAATAAAGATATATTTATTATTATTATTGTATTATTAGTATATTTCTTGGGGTTCAAAATTTTTTTAATACATCTATAAGCTCTTGCGATTTCAAAGCAATAGTTATTTCGATATTATTCAATTTAGATAGTCATAGCAGGTAAATTAATTGATATTATTGTGTTCAAATTTAGTCCACGAAATATCGATATTTTTGAATTTCCGATATCGATATTATCGATATCAGTGAATTTTAAATATCGATATAAATATCGATATTTTGGTCTCGATATTACGCGGGCCCACCATTGGTGGGTGCTAACGCCTGCAGATGCAGCCGGGACCAACGGCTTAACGTGCATTCCAGAGCACGGAGGAACTCGAGATTTAATTTTTTGTCACCCATCCAATAACCGACCACTGCAAAAGTTGCTTAACTTCAACGATCGCAGCCGAACGCGCTAACCACTTGCGCCATCGAGCTCCGCCGAGCGGTATGGTCTTAAATTTTTTTTATTTACATTACAGTACACAGAACTACTACACAAAGGTGACTGTAATCTTTGTAACTTTTGCTTAGTTTTATTATCAGCTAACAGGTCACGAAGTTGCTATTAATGGTTTTAAACATGTTTTAAATATATTTTATAGTGCGACCATAATTTAACATTACTGTAAAATTTTTAATTATGCGTCCCCAAATAACCGACTCGATAAATTTTATGACAAACTGCACGTCTCTAATGACAATGATGAACAATATATATTTTTAAGTTTAGAAATAATTTTGATAAAACTCGTTTTAACGGGTCAATGCACAGAATCTTAATTGTCATTATTCTGACGATGCAGACCTGAAAAGGCTGCGAAACGTCAATAAATGAATAAAGTTCGTGCATTAACTCGATAAAACTAGTTTTATTTAATGAGTGATGTAAGTGAAAACCTAAGAAACAAATAAATAATTTTGAATTAGTGACCATGAAAGTTTAAAACAATATAATAATTTTGAATTTCGCATATGAAACTTCATGGGCGCACAAATGTCAAAACGGGCCTATTATTTTGTGATGACTGTACTCTACCGAAAACTACTGCTCCTCGAACCAAGAGCCGACCTATTCGCCTATTCACTAACTTTTTTGGCATTTACAGTGCGTACAGGTCGCGGCACGTAACTCTAACGCTCAACAAAACACGGAGGGGATAGCTGCGCATGGGTACGACTGGAGAGCCAATCGGCGCAACGCACGCCCACCCGCGCACCTCGTTTTCCCCCTAGACATCTTAATTTTTACTTCTACGCAATAACAGTCAGCGCTAGAGTTTCGTGCCGCGACTTATAATTAACGAGAAAATTGCATATCCGTCGATGCTTTTCAGAACAAGTATCTTATTGGCGTTAAAACCAGTAGGATCACTGAATAGTTCAGTGATTACCACTTCCATCTGTCAAAAGCAGTTAGAGTCTGTGCGGTAAGAGAATGGGATTAAGATTGGAGGGCGCTGTAGTGCTTTTCTACCGTATTTGTAAGATTTTACCCCTTTTAGACATGATTAAATACAAAAAAAACCGCAAGAAATCACAACAACAAACTAATCCGTATCAATACAAAACTTTGACGTTTTACAGATTGCTGGGTTTGTTTGATTGCCAAATAAATAAATAAATAAAAATCTTAATGATAGTTCCATTTTTCGCCACGCCAATTCTCTTTCCGCACAGACGAATAGGTCGGCTGAGCATTCACCTACCTTTGATTTATGAAGTGTGCGTCTTACAAGCTTGTGTTTGCATGTTTCCGTTTGTGTGCTATACGCGTTTACCTCGTCAAAACAATGTAAACATTTCCAGGATTATATATATATTTTCCTCATGAAGATGTAAAGAAATAAATAAAAATCATGCATAGTCCCTATTGCGGTTTATAAATCAGTACCTAATAGAACCAATCATCATCAACAGCCTATCTTAGTCCACTGCTGGAAATAGGCCTTTCCAAATACACGCCACCCAAATCGATCTTGGGCTACTCGCATCCAGATCCTGCCAGCCACCTTGCGCAAATCGTCACTCCATCGTGCCTGAGGACGTCCACTACGTTTGCCTAGACGCGTTCTCCACTCCAGAACTCTTCTATCCCACGTTATAAACCACAGAAGTATAGAACCAATACTTCTGTGGTTTATAACATTTGTTAATTACATATTTTAAAAATGTTTAACTACTTCAAGAAGAAATTAATTTATCACAAGTAATTATTATACCATGTTTATTATAAATTATTTTTTTTACGAATCAACCTGTATTTTCTTAAGACTATTAAAAGAAACCTAGTACCCACTTAGATAACAAAATAATGTTGTCAGTAGGTAAGTACTACTAATTACTACGTTATGAGGCAACCGGGTATATAGTAAGGTCTTTAAAGAAGATGAGTCAAAAGTGGTAGTCGGTTTCCGGCAGCGACGAAAAATATATCATTTGAAAGCTTGTTTTATATTATAACTAGCGGCCCGCCCTCGCTTCGCTTCGGTGTAGAGCTGAAGTGTAGACTACAGTTTTTGTTCTCAGGCTTGTATTATACACAATGACATTCATCTATGATTCTTCTTATACCTGCATGCAAAGTCTCAACCCGATCGGTTTAAAATTGACAAAGTTTCATACAAACTTTTATTACCTATTTTATCCCCTTGGGGGTAGAATTGATCAAAATCCTTTCTTAGCGAATGCCTACGTCATAACATCTACTTACCTGCATGCCAAATTTCAGTCCGATTCGTCCAGTGGTTTAGGCTGTGCGTTGATAGATCACTATGTCCGTTAGTCACCTTTGAGTTTTATATATATAGATAGATTATGAACAGATACATTTTAATTTTTTGTTTATCCTCGATTATTTTCACAGACCAGTCATGTGTGATATTCGTGAAATAGTTATACCAATTTGTTACTGATTCTTCTTGAAATAAAATACCTACAAAACACCTGATAATGTAATGAAAGATGAACAGAATAATTATTACTGCTTTAGTTACCTATTAAATAGTATATATTTGATGCTTTGGCAACATAAAATAGATAAATAAACTTGCCATTTGCCAATCAATTATTATAGTAAGTACATAATAAGTGCACTACATCTCATAAAAATTTTGAGTCTGCCGGAAAGTCACTACCACGCCCTCCATACAAACTTCCGTCGCCTTTGTGTGTTGCTGTTTTTATATGTTATATATTCAAATCATTCGAGATTGCAATTCAATATTTTTCATTTATTCAGAAAAGCGTTTATTCATGTAGATCCTTAGGGGCTAATCCGCTAGTCATTGAATCGACTTTTAAATCACATTTTTAGTCCTAGCTACCGACTCTTTCAATTCATTATATTCATGACTGCCGACTCTGTTCAAATTAAAAATCAATTTGACTAAGTACATACAAATTAAAGCACTTATAAAATTAAACAAGTTTAAACGGTGGTATCGTGAATCGTGTGCTGAGATATTTATCAGTTTAAGCTTATCTGTCGCCTGAAGAGGATCTCTCTCGATTATCACTTATTACGTAAAACTAAATGGTAACTCGGTACGGTAATTAATGCGTTGACTTTCGCAATCATCACGAACATCTGACGAATTAAAAGATTAAGAATACACTTACATAATTCTCAGCTTAGAAGCAAACAGGTTTGATTTGAATGTTTTATTCTTTATTTTTTATCCTGCATGGAATAACAATTTTTTTGGTAAGTGTAGTCACAGAAGACCTTTTTAAGCGTAAACATACAAAATTGTGATGGCAAAGTCTTAGAAGAGAGCCAAAGTGCAATTTAGTCCGAATAATTTGTATACTACTGAAATTAAAAATGGTGTCTCAAAAGAAGGGATCTGTCAAAGATGAGAAAGGAAAAGTTTACGGAATATGGGAAGTCCTGGAGAAGTTTGGATGCTACCAGATACTGCAGTATTTATACATCTGCCTGCCGACCCTATTTATAACCATGGGTCACATTAACTATGTCTTTGTGGTTCGAGATGTTGCGTATCGGTGAGTACTCCCTTTGTCAATATAAATTTTGATTAATTTACATTTCTTGTTTTACGCATATTGCTTTACTTGTCGTATTAATTCAAGAACTAATAAAATATTGGTCCCAGCAAAGAACCCTGTATGAAAAAAAAACTAGCAACTCCCAGCGGGGAAATTGGAGTCGAACTTTCTTTTATGACTATCCCTTCATAGATTTAACTACGAATCTTTCAAATATCGTATTTCTAAAAACAATGGTTCCTTTAAAATACCTGTATCAGCGAAATTTTGGTGTTAAGAAGTTGCCAGCAATTAGCCCAATATTCTAAAAGCACAGCCATCACTTAATCTATCGATCTAAAGACTTCTTAGGAAATTAGGAATCGTTCTATTTTTTTTTGATAACTAAAACTAAATGGACCATAAATTAATGTCATGTTGAAATGAAAACTATGATATTGCTTGGTATTAGGTAAAGTGTTGAAGTTATATCCATCGTCTCCTTCGTCATCGTCCTTGCAACGTGTCCTATTGACTAGATTACATTATCAATCTCTAGAGTATCTCTCTATAATATCTATTGAGTAAGTTATATTCCTCATCTTTTCCTTTTCATTTCTATTTTCATATATATAATGTAGTAACAGATTTGCAATACAAATAAGCTTTGTGGAAGATGGCCGAATACAAAATCGAAAAATTATATTCTGCATGATTTTTTCCGTAATTTTAATAGTTATTCTGATATTCAGAAAGAATGACCAATCCAAATGAATCCAAAAAATCTGATCTAAATAAAATCGAGCGAGCCGTTTTCGAGTTATAATTATAAAAGTGTTATAACTACCACGACTTTGTTATAATTAAATAGATATAGATTTCTGGTTCTTAGAAGCAGTCTTTCGAAAACAACTTCCTTAGCATGATATAAGATGACCTTATTAGGAACGGGTTATAATGAGTGGAATATATAAATAACAAAAAGATAGCGCTATCGATGTACGATACTAATACATAGTCAAGCTATCTTTAGTCAAATTGGATGTTTAGTAAAACACTTTTGAATCGTCCAAAATTGTTTTTTCCCTACCACTCGTTATTGGACATATTTTTTAGCTGCGGAGAAAAACGAGCGAAAAAACTCCACAACATTAAAAGTAAAATGTAACAACATTTACAAATCAGTAGGTATGTTGTTACAACAACGTCAATACAATCATGATTTATTTAATTATAGAAAACCTGTTCGAATGATTGGAACAGTTCAAACCCAAGATTTTTGGAGTTTACTCCTTAAGAATCGATTTGCATATATCGATTGCAGGGTCGATAATTTTAAAAATGGTGAAAAGTGAAAAAAAAATATAGTAGGATGAAACCCATTAGAAAAGGTAGACAATATAACAAAAATGAAAGGAAAAATAAATTACGGGCGATCTGAGGTCGGGAAGGGGGAGGGGGTGAGTTTTTAAGGGTAAAAAATGGTTAATCTCGATTTCCGGTAAAACTGCAAGTCCTATGAAAAAAAGTTAAATGGCAAAGTTGTAGGTAATAAAAAGATCTACAACTTTTGTATCGACACTTTTTTCACATAACCTCAAAATTTATGTGAAAAATGCGAATAACCGAGTTTTTGGTTTTTGATTTTTATTTTTTGCAAAAAAAAATATTTTTTCACGAAATTTGGTGAAAACTTACCTTTGTTTGTCCCAAACATACAGTAATTTTTTTGATTTAAAATATTCATTTTTTCACCTTATTTTGACTTAATATCCATAAAGCACCCTAATTTTCAATAGAAAATTCTCACGTCAAAATATCTGCTTTTTTAAAAAAGTTGGGGTGTTTTTTGTTTGTTAAAATCTCTACTTTCTGATGGTATAAAAAAAATATACCCCTACCCCATGGAGCCCTGGAACCCTACATACCGACAGAAACACAACACCACCAAAGGGTAGTATTAATTTACTGTTTATCTTTTCTGTAAGTCGATGTTACTACCCCAGGCATGCGCTCCAATACGAGCGGGAAATCCGCTAAGCCCTACGGCGGGGACTCCACCAAAGCGGAGACGAGACGAACGGAGAGATGTATTTTAAACAACCAATAGGATTGTGTTATTGACACATCTCCCCTCCGCTCAGCTTCAGTGGAGATCAGTGTGCGGAGATGTGTAATATTTGTATGGCGCGATGGAAGCGGAGATGTGAGCTGTGCGCGGACGAACGCGCAGCGGAGACGAGAGATGTGAGCGGCGTGCAGTGAGCAGTGTCACCCTCCCCCCTCTCGCCCGCCAACAACTCACTTCAGCTCTCAACGCCGCACTCCCGAGCTGAAAATCATCTCTTCTCGCATAGCACATAGCACACCGCACACATCTCCGCTTTGGTTCCCTCCGATTCCGTCGGCCTAGGCACGTCTTAGACTACCCCGACGACGAAATCACCCGCGCCAACGCGCCTCCGATTCCTCCCACTCAGGCCCATAAACACCAACACTACACAGCTAACAAACGAGCACACTAGCTTAGCATAAGAGTGCGAAGACCCGGTCTACACACGACACGCTATACCAGGTACAAGTACGTACCTGGGCATTTTCCCCCGGCCCCCACGACAACAGCTAACTAGAGCCGAGGTCCGAGTCTCAGAGACGCCCTCTAGTTGAGCTGAAACCCTCAGGTTCGAGTGGTCTAGAGGCTCCAGACGGAGGAAACTCCCCCCGTGGGGAGACGCCTTTCGCCTGGAATACCTCCAGAGGCACTCGCCAATTCTCGGCTTGAGGTCCCCATGCTTGGGGATCCCCAAACCCGGTGACGCTGTTAAGGTCATCTGCGACCAACAGCATACGCACTCAAAAAAAAACCCTTTGGTGGAGTCCCCCGAGCTAAAACATATCTCGTCTCGCACAGCTCACAGCACACATCTCTGCTTTGCTGCTTTAATTTCTTTAGATTTAATGTCAAAATTAAACATTAGATGTTTGAAGTGTTAGCCACATGAAATTGACTTTCCTTTAATAATATTCCCCTTTCTTCATTCTACTTCTCCTCATTCTTCTTTATAATAAGTGAAACTTCTTTACGCACGCTTGACTTGGGGGGATAAGCTGGCATATGCGTAACGCGTTACTAAAAGTGTGTTCGGGCGAGGCGAACGGGAGTCGAGTGGGATATAAGCAAGAGAAAGCCGCGCACACATTTTCTTTCTCTCTTTCTCTTAAAGCTAGTAAATGAATATGTATATGTACATACATGTCTATATTGTACATATATATGAAACAGATCATCAATCAGATGGAGCTAAAGAAGTTTCACTTCAGTCGTGGTCATAAGCCTACTCGTTTTTTTTTCAGGTGCCGTGTTTCAGAGTGTGATGGTGCCAATTCCACAGTCGCAGCGGCGTGGTGGCCAAACAACACCACAGACAGATGCTTTAGACCAATCCAAAAGAACACCAGCTTTGGCGACTGCTCTCCTGAAAGCTTCAGCGAAGATGTTGAGCCCTGCGACGAGTGGATTTATGAGGACAAAGACAGCGTCGTGTCTGAAGTAAGAATCAGTAATTACCACCTACATGTATGGTTACAAACTTTAATGGTCCTTTGACCGTAGACATATATAACGCGTACAAAGAAATTTGGTGACTCATTTCTTTGTCGCACTATCCGTAAATGGAATGCTCTGCCCGCTCACGTGTTCCCTCCCTCTTACAACCTGGGATCCTTTAAAAGAGGCGTGAAGAAGCAACATGCAGGCCGGCAGGGTGAGGATGGCTGGTGTGGCAGGTAGAACTGCTGTATCAGCTATCTTCGAGTCTGGACTTCACCTTCACTTAACATCAGGTGGGGTGGAGTCATTTGTCGGACCTATTAATAAAAAAAACAAAAAAAAACAGGAAAGAGAAGACAAGGCATGATCGGAAACTTTAAATTTCCTAATATATTCAACCCAAAAAAATACAATGTGGCTTCATTCAGATATGTGGTTATGTCAAATGAAATACATTCTCGTCTACGGAAGTAACCTCCTCCTAAAAGAAGACTACAGTGGTGTTCTGTTTCTGTTGGTAAGTAATGTTCCAGGGCTCCACGGGGTATAGGATAAGGTCAGGATAGGCACGGATGCGAGTGATATTTTTGATATCGCAAGGTGTCTATATGCTATGGTGACCGCTTACCATCAAACGGGCCATAAGCATGTTGACCACCCTTTAAACATTATCAAAAATATCTCCGACACACATTTGATGCATTGCTAACCAAAAGGATGGATTATGTATAAATTTATTTCTTGGAGTCTATTGTGTCGTCAGATGAAGGAAGTCGAGGTGGTTTACTAATCCGAGCCTTTCAAGTGGAAATTCCACATTTACTCTGTTGGTATCTTAATTTTTCAAAGATTATAATTATAAGTAAGCATCTGTTCTTTGTGTCATAAAAGATTAAAGCATAGTAACATTATAAAGATTAATTAATAAATCCTCATCTTGTGAGTTGTTTGTGATTAGCGTGTCACAAAATTATTACAGGTTGAGTATCGTAAAACAATTTTACGATACTTACTTAATTGCCTACTTCTTTGATAAAACACTGATCTCGAAAAGTGAAACATCTGAACAATGAAAATTTTCATTTTAATTATATAATTGTTCAGTGCTAGTGTTGAAGCGAAGGATAAAACGCCAGTGGCTAAATTTTCCGTGCAGATTCTTTTAGGTCATATTTCCACTGTACTAACTAACTTGTCTATTCTTTCTACTCATCCGTCATAATCAGTGCCGTCTTTGACCTATTGGAGTCCCTGGGCATATTAGGATAATGGGGCCAATAAAACTTCCGTTTGGTGATTTAACAGGAACTAAGGACTTTGTATTTGATCTGAGGGGGCCCTCTATCGATCGCGGGGCCCTGGGCACTTGCCCAAAGTGCCCACTGGGAAAGACGGGTCTGGTCATAATATCATTTACTACATTCTTAGCCAATGCCAAATGTAGCGTCATCGTCACACAGGTGAAATAAGGTTTTGATGAGCGTCTGGTGAAAAAAATTAGGGTCTGTTACGTAATTTTTATTTAATTACTAGTGACCCGCCCTCGCTTCGCTTCGGTGTAGAGCTGTAGTGTAGACTATAGTTTTTGTTCTCAGGCTTGTGCTATAAAGAATGACTTTATTTATATAATTACACGTGTTATTGTGAGTCAACCATAAAAGATAGACATATCCTGTTGCGGGATATTTTTTAGACAATTTTATGTAGAATATTTCCGTCATACATGATTTCTATGTAACTTTAACCATTAAGGCTGCACCTGCGACGGAAGCTTAAAAAATGGAGTAATTTCTCCCGTTTTCCCAACATTTCCCTTCACTACTCTGCTGCTATTGATTGTAGCGTGATGAAAAGTATACTATAACCTGCCCAGGAGTATGAAGAATAATTGTACCACGTTTCGTTAAAATCCGTTGAGTAGTTTTTGTTTCTATAAGGAACATACACACAGACAGACAGACAGACAGACAGACAAAAATTTTACTGATTGCATTTTTGGCATCAGTATCGATCACTAATCACCCCCTGATAGTTATTTTAAAAATATATTTTATGTACAGAATTGACATCTCTACAGATTTATTATAGTATAGATAGAAGATAGATAGATAGAAGAAGATTGATGGCGGCGGTAATAGATTTTATGTTCTATTCGGGCGCGTGAGTTTCAGACATGTTCACGGACTGACGGATGAACGCACAGTGCCTTATTAACATTTTTTTTTAACCAGAGCAAATGCTTGACGCATACTCCGCCGCTTGATATAGCGACGGGTTTATATGAGATTCCTCTCCCCTCACGCCGTCCATAACCGAAAGCAGCCCATAGTGGGGACCCCTACCTACTAAAAACTCTAGGATGAGCCCTCCTTACAGGTGGTGGCAGTCGGTATGACCTTATCGGATTAGATCTGCTGTGAATAGCACCCGGGCCGACCGGATGGCAGACGAGGTGTCCACCCGAAGGGGAACCTACGAAATTCTAAAAATATTGTAGTTAAGGTTATATAAGATAATACTGGACGTCTCAGATTTATATCCGTTCATTCGTTTAGATTTATTCTACTGTTTTTTGTCTTTGTATTTTACACTAGGCTAAAAGTACTAGACAAACATGCTTTATTTTTATTTTCAGTTGAATCTAGCGTGCAAGTCATGGCACATCAACTCTGTGGGCACGGTCCACAATTTGGGGATGTTGCTTGCTATGCTGATTACAGGATGGCTGGCAGATCGGTAAGAAAGACCCAACATATCGGAGGTACTTTATCTGTCAGTATGCCCTTCAAAGTCACGTAATCTTTACTAATGGGTACTTGTCATACAGATATTTAATAGGGCTAATGAATCCAAAATTATACAAATAATAAATCGTTCAAAACAGATTCGGTCGCAAACATGCGCTGGTTATCTCAATGGTGGTCGGTTCTGTCGGCCTGCTCAAGATCTTCGCTACGTCCTACTATTTATACATCGCCATCGAGTTCCTTGAGGCGCTACTTGGTGGTGGAAGTTACTCCATTGCTATGGTCCTCAGTGAGTATCTTTAATTTTTTTTACTGTGACAAATTTCATAACCCTTAATTTTGATAAAACTTTAAGTAGGTACTTATTAAGCTGCGTACGGATAGACCGCTGCGCGTACCCATTTGCCGAGTTGCTATGAGTACGGATAGCGCGTTCCATGGCACGCGTAGTCGTCTATCGATACGCGGTTTTACATTTTCGTGGACACCTTTATAGGTTTATAGATATTAACGGGATTGTTACCATGTACCTTGTTTTTTGTGAGTCTCCGATATTTCGATATATTGTGTACCGGGAACAAATGCGAGTGAATAGTGAGAATGTGACCAGTGGTAGGGGTATCGAACGCAGTAAAAGACGACGTCAGAGGGTAGACCGATATGTCTGCCAATGACATCTACCCGCAATTACTTCAGTTACTCCGTGATCGTGGCGCTTGCAACAGTGCCGAAATATCGGAGACTCATAAAAAACAAGGTACATGGTAACAATCCCGTTAATATCTATAATGTTAGTGACCATGAAAGTTTAAAACAATAAACCTTTATAGGTATTAGAAAGATAAAGAGTTTCCAGCTCGTATTCTTGTTAATCTTTCATTGCGCATGCGAGTCAGTTTTTGTTTTCTACTTTCAATTGTAGCCTTTTTGAGACTCTCACATGTTTTCATCATTTTTTTTCTATTCATTTATTTCTTTATTTATTTCATTTCAGTGATAGAGATCACGGGGAGAAAACAGCGAATTCTCTCTGGAGTACTATTCGCCTATGCAATTTACATGGGCGAGTCCATATTCGCCGTTATCGCCATGTTTGTGCACAACTGGAAGATGCTCGTCATAATTATTTACAGTCCTCTCATATTGTGTCTCTTGTTGACGTTATTGCTTCACGAGAGTCCGCGGTGGCTAATATTGAACGGCAAAACCGAACAAGTGATAAGCAACCTTAAAAGGATAGCAAAAAGTAACAAAATTGAATTGAACTCACAAGATCTTAGTAATATAGATGCTAATAAACTCAAAGAGATGTTCAACATTGAGAATTACGAGACCAAAGAAGGTCTGAGAGAAGTTTTTCGTTCGATGGAGATGATAAAGCGGCTGATAGTCGCGTCATTCTGTAGATTTACCTCGAATTTCGTGTACTACGGTATCATGATAAACTCCGTGTGGTTGCCTGGCGATAAATATGTGAACTTTCTACTGTCTACAGTGATGTCCTTCCCTGGGGAATTGATATCGTTATATTTAATGAATAAGATCGGGAGGAAGATGCCTCTTGTCGTCGGATTCATATTCTGTGGCGGACTCTGTATATTGTCAGCGTTTGTGCCTGATAGTGAGTATATATTTTCTTTTAAATATATGAATTTAAATGCTTGAATAAAGACTAAGTCATGTAGACCCATGAAATTTTGCCACCTCGCAGATTATTCAAAAATTTTAAGCTAAATTTTTGGGCGATTTATAATTCCAGCTCTAGACGAATTGATAAGCGATCTTGATTGGCATTTTTAACCAAAATGCAAATGGAGGAGTACACTTAACATACCTACTCTGTCTACAATAATCAAGGTTACATTTTCTGGTTCTTATTCTGTTATCTCTCATAAATTCTCTCAATTAATCACGCAGCGCTAAGCTGGGCCAAGATACTGCTGTTCCTGTCGGGCAAGGTGGTGATGTCGGCGTGCTTCACGGGCGCCATCACGTACTCCATGGAGCTGTTCCCGACCAGCGCGCGGGGCTCCCTGCTGGGGCTATGCGCTTTTGCCGCTCGTCTGGGGGGCATGCTAGCCCCACTTACACCAATCTTAGTAAGTTGCTAGCTCAACTTATGCCACTTTTAGTAGGTTGTAAGCCCCACTAAGCCAATCTTGGTAAGTTGTAAGCTCCGCTTAGACCTATCTTGTTAAGTTTTCCCTATTTGATGGCGCAATTACATTTGGTCGTGAGCCCGTTTTCGGGTGCACCAAAGATATTACTTGAATTCGGGCACCCAAAGCAATATTTACACTAGAATATGGGCTGACGTTGTCGTCATTTACCCGAATTCCATTGGCACTCTTTTTCGGGCTAAGGACCAAGTTTAATCGCGGCATAAGGTTTTTATTATCAAGTGCCTACAACTACTCGATGCAGTTGTTCCCGGTCAGGCCAAACGGGTCATTGAAAGGAGATTGCTCAGGTTCCATACATGTTTGGCCTAAAGACCATTATACACTGAACGATTTTGAGGTTACGTTTGCAAATAAGTACATAGGTAATAAAATAATAAAAAACATATAAGTTTTATAGTAAACTAGTGAAATCAAGCCAAGTTCCGAAATTATGTATTACATTCAGGTATATAGAGCATGTAGATTAACAGATATTTGCCTGTTTTTAAAGTTAATGCACAAGAGTAACTTTTAAAATCAGGTACCTATCATCTATGCATTTCCGATTATAATAAGGAAGGTACCATAGTGTAATAAAAAAATGTTTTATTTTATCCATCTTTACAAAATAGATTTGATTTTATGTTATATAAACAACTTCGATCAGTCTGGCTGAATGTTACTACACCCATAGCCATTAAAAATGATTCGTATGTTTTTCAAACCAGTAAAATTAAAAGTCCTTTTTAAAATGAATATATTATACAAAGATGTCCGTTAAAATCTAATGACTGTAAAATAAAGTATAAATTACGCCAAGAATTACCGTATATGTCAATATTTTTTGTGAATTTGGGTCAATTTGAGCAATCTCCTTTATTCCCTTTTCTAGGGTTTATTCTCAGTAATGATCTAAGAAATTCTAATGATTTATATTATATTTTATTTGTCATTCTCATAACGAATGCATTATATGCAAATCACAGGTTAATGTAAATAATGAAAACAAACAATGCATTACTATCATTTTATTACTTACTTAATCAAACATATATTTACCTACAAATAGATCCTTATCAAGATCACGACACATCCGAGATAGTTAATTATATCTCTTAAATAAATAAAAGTGGCATAATTGTTTATTTGTGTTAAGATTCTAGTGTTGTAATATAACAATCTTGAAATTAAATCTACAAACGTGTGTGTCAACAAAGGGAGCAACGCAACACAAAAAACCCTGTCATCACGTCGCCGTCATTGTTCCCAAAGCAATACCATACAATAATAAATTATCACCTTCTAAGTATCCATTCTAAAAGCGAAAGTAAATTTCCTCTATCTGGCTGCATGTGACGTCTATACGTCCGTCTGTCTGTCTTTATTTCATGTTTTCACACATGTACAGCTAAACCTATATTTTGTACTCACTAATGAAGATAAAGAGGAATGACATAGATTTTATAATATATATACGCAAAATAAACTTAAAGATAGAAGAAGTAATTTAAAAAGTATGATAGGGAATCTCTTATCTATTAGACAAGTCCGTCCGTCCGTCTGTGGTGCTGTTTCAGCGGCCAAACCGTAAGAGATAGATAAAGAGAATATTTAAGTTATAAGTTAAGAATAGTCTGATAAGACTACAAACCGGATTTGAGTAACGTAGCACTTCCGGTTTTCGAGAAATCACGAATTTCAAACGAAACCACACAAAATCTCCGAAGTTCTCAATTAATTAAATACATTTTTTTTTTAATCAGGTTTTGGTGAACATTCGGTTCACTGGTTTGCTAGTACTTATTAAAAGAAGAATTCATCAAGAATCATGCAGTGTTTCAAAATTAAAAGATTAAAAATAAATTAGCACAACAGTTTTGTTTATAGTTAAGTACTTAAAGTGGTATATATTGTTAAATAAAACTAGTTTTTACGGTGCATCGTCAATAAATAAATAAAGTTTCGTGCATTAACCCGTAAAAACTAGTTTTATTTACTGAGTGATGTGTGTGAAAACCTAAGAAACAAATATGGTATAATATATTGTTTATTGTATGCAATATAGTTAGCAAATACAGTGCCTTTATTTAAAAAAAATGTAAGTTGTGACATTTTTATAATGCATTAAAAAGATTTGGGAAGATTATAAACTTACGATAAACGTTATACTTAAATATTAGGTAGGTAAATTAAATAACATTGAAATAATACACATACAAATATGAATATTAGCAGTGGTTACTAGGTAACGGATAGAATACATATACTGTAAATATATAAGTATATTTTAATAGAAATACATATTTGTTTCTTAGGTTTTCACGCACATCACTCATTAAATAAAACTAGTTTTTACGGGTTAATGCACGAAACTTTATTTATTTATTGACGTTTCGTAGCCTTTACAGGCTTCGTCGTCAGAATAAAACTTTTATTCAATTTGTCGTACTCCAGTCATGGATGTTTAATACATATTAAACATCCATGACTGGAGTACAGTCATGGATGTTTAATACATATTAAACATCCATGACTGGAGTACAAATGCTCGTATTCATCACACAAACATCTGCCCCCACCGGGATTTGCCCCAGGGTTAAATATTAGGACCACTGCTTTTCATTATTAATAGCAATGGCTTTCCACACTTTACTAGAGATTTTTCTGAGACAGTACTATTTGCTAATGACACCTCTTCCGTATTTAAAGCTAGAAGAGGAAATAAATGTTATGACCAAGTACATTGTGCTCTCTCTGAAGTCCTACATTGGTTTACGGTAAGCAACTTAACACCAAACTGTAGTAAAACAAAATGTGTTAAGTTTACTCTAACCAATGTGAGGCAGGTTAGTTCTAGTATAAAAATAAACAACCAGCCTGTTGAATATTTGGATTTCACAAAGTTTCTGGGTGATAAAAAAATATAACTTTAGACTCTTATCTGCAATGGAATCTTCATATTGATGCCTTATCAAGTAGATTGGAAACGGCAAGATTGGTCTACTTTGGTTACTTTTATAGCGTTATGACATAAAGCTTTTGTTGTGGGGCTCTGCTACTTTATAATAGTATTTTTATATTGCAAAAGAGAGGTGTCCGCGTCATTATGTAACTTAATGTCAAGAGACTCTATTGAAGAAATATTTAAAGAAATTAATGATTTAACTATAATAATGTACCAACTTAAGCAAAAACTATGACGCATTTGTTATTTTTACACTCTTATTTATTTACTTTAACACTCGATTTAAGAACAAGCTTGCCGTTCCATGTTTCAGGCTCAAAAATGAAGAGGTTTTTTTCTGGGTTGTAGTATTATACTGTTTAATTGTTTTATTCAATAAAGATCCTTATGACAACTTGTTGTCCTATTAGTTCTTCGATTTAATAAGTTATAGAACAGTAGAACTAGTGAGACTCGTTGTCTATGGTTGAACTACTGGGAGTTTTTGTTCTCACGAGTCCTACGTTGTATAATGTTCCAGAATAGTAGAACTAGTGAAACTTTAGTTCCATGTAGTTCATACTTGAACTAACTAACAAGATTTCAAATCTTACATAACTTTCGTCTTTTCAGAATGACACGTCGAAGGTGCTGCCAGCTTTGTGTTTTGGCGCATCATCAGTGATCACTGGTCTGTCCGTCATACTGACCCCGGAGACGAAACATTTACCCCTGATGGACACCATAGGGCAGGTGGAGGTCAGCGTCAGGAAGACCAAAGACAAGACTGATAATGATAATGCGGATGGTATAGTTAACGACGGCGCTTCTATTAAATTTTAATTTCTGAGATTATGTATATACATTTCTGAGATAATACCTATAGATTAGAGAATTTTTTCTAAAGAATACTTTAGTCACGTATCAATAAATATTCAGAGAAATCTCATCTATCTATCTACAGTGCAACAAGGATCTATATGAATGTAAATGACAGTTCAGGGAGGGCGCTGCTGCATGCTAAATGCTTGAACGCGATCACCTTCTTTTAAAGTAGGTACTAGAAAATCTCCTGATTTTATGTAAAATTTTCTTTATGTACCTACTCATCAAAAAGCCCAAGCAATATCTACCAGTCCGGTCTAGGTGTGAGCGTTCTAAAGACGAACCGGTTTCAAGGACCGTTTTATGTTCCGCGACGATAGAACCGTTTTACGTTTCGGATCAAAGCAGTCTTCGTCGAACAACTAGTCCTTGGATTGTATACGCGCCAATTTGTACTAGTAATGAAGAAGTAAATACAGTCTATAATAGAACGCAATGATATGAGACAGTTTCGTTATATGACAAATTAAGCTTTGATTTTACAATAATATAATCTTTAATCCTGAAAATTTAAAGTCGATTATCGTATAACACTACTTTATTTCGATGTTTCGTCGTCTCGTTCGCAAGTTTGATAAGCAACAAATGGAAACAAAATAATAAAATTTATTTAGAACCGCAAGTTGGCATTGCAAATTAGCAATCCTTTCACTCGTCGAAACGAACGTTAAAAAGATTTTGTTTGTTTTTGTTTCGTTACGTTACCTTCGTTCGACCGTCGAGTCGTTTGTCATTTTTTTGCGTTCCAGCCGGAACTAAAACCAGTTGCGAACGAGAACCGTTTCGAGGACTAGTTTTCGTTTAAGAGAAAACGGTTGCGTTTCGTCGTCCTAAAATTTGAGAACGACCCACCGCTAGTCTGGTCAATTTAGACATTCAAACGTTTATAAATTCTCATCAAGCTGCAAGTGAGTACAGAAGGCTAGTTGACTCATGTCAAATTGCACTATGCAAATGTTTATTTCTTATAATTTTTGGTATGAGAAACCTAAATACATCGCTTTAACTTCATAAAATTAGATGATTACATTTTTAGTCTATGCTTTTTAAACACTAAAAACGCTGTCCGCCATGATTGTGACGTCACAAAATTTGTAAACAACTAAACGTCATTGGTGTTGATTCTGACATCATTCTCTACACCTAAACTTGAATTTGACAACAGTGTATCCTTGTCGTTCTCTATAGAGAATGAAAAAGACACACCAGTGGCTTGTTACTGTGGTTTCTTTCGTAGGACTAAAATATATCTAAAAAATCTTATATCTTGTAGAAAATTTTTGGTTTTATTGTACAAATTAATGCAGGACGCCGGATTTGTGAAAACAGAAACGAAAAACTGAACTGGAAACTTGAACAGCAGCGCCACAAAATACGTAACGAGAACTAAAAATCAGTACACATATGACAATGACATTTCGTACTCGCAATCGATACGAATTCGATATTGGTTTTGGGTACAGTACCCTTAGACGAACCAATATCGAATTCGTACAACCGTAAACCTAAACATTCGTAAACCAATTCATTATGGCGCTAATGTTCAAGTTTTCATACAAAATTTGACAATGGTGTCGATTCTCGCAAGATTATCTAAACCTAAAGCTAAATTTAACATCAGTCTCTCCTTTTCATTCTCTATAGGGAATGACAGGGATACACAGTTGTCAAATTTAAGTTTAGCTTTAGAGAATCATGCCAGAATCGACACCAATGACATTTCGGATTCGCAAACTATTCGAATTCAGCAAACTATTCTGAGCTTTTTGTTGTCCTTTTCTTGATAGCAAAATGGCGAATAATTAAATAAAATTCATGACAAACCGTGACCTTTGAGTTTTTTTTCATAGTTTTACGAACGAAAAGTGGTTCCGTGTAATTTGTTATTTGATTTTAAACTATTTAGGTTCCTTTTAAAAGCATCGAAGGCATTGTTTTATCTTTAAAATACACAATATACGCAATGTTGTTATATTGAGAATTGAAAGAGAATTGAGAAAGTGAATTGTGTTCATGCACCACAATTTAAGCGGTACACTTTTGAGCTGCGAGTGCCGTATCTACCTTTTTAAATCTAAGGGTGAAGCCCATAGATACGAACTACTGGCCGCACAATAACTTCTTCCCTGTCACACTTATCAGCATGTCGATTCTGCAAGATACAATCTCAGGTACTACTTTCTTCCGCTGTTGCCTCCTTGTATTGTTCACACCAATGATCAGGAGTCTTTTCGAATGCCTGAAAGAGATAAAGAATTTGATTTGATTTGATTCTATACTCTATTTGCGAAAATGAACTATTACTAACATTGCTGCCATTGGCAGACTAAAATTTATCAGAATCGAGTTATTCTCAGTTCAAGATTTCCCGCCAATGATTAGCGAACTAAAAGCGTAGCGTATATTCTGTTTGTCCCACGACAACGGCTAGCTAGAGCCGAGGTCCGAGTCTCCTCAGGTTCGAGTAGTCTGGAGGCTCCAGACGGAGAGGAGACTCTCCCCGCGGGGAGATGCCATCCGCCTGGAATACCTCCAGAGGCACTCGCCAATTCTCGGCTTGAGGTCCCCTTAGGATCTCGCCGTCCCCGAACCCAGTGACGCTGTAAAGCTCATCTGCGACCAACAGCATACACAATCAAAATTCTATTTGTAAAAGCCTCAAATGAATAGGTATACGAATTATGAGTTAAATAAATTTTGCAAAAAAAAAAGCAAACACGCGGTCCAGGCAGCAGGCGGGACTCGAACCCGCACTCTCCACTATCTGGGCGGATGCACCGAACTATTATGGTACCGCGACCTTAATGGCCGTGTCAAATTTCCTCTAGTATTTCTTAGGCTGCAAGCGGCCGCTGTAATCATCATCATCAGCCTATTAATGTTCCCACTGCTGGGGCACAGACCTTCCCTATGAATGGAATAGGGAGATTGGACCATGACCCACCACGCAGGCCCAGTACGGATTGGCGGGTGCTAACGACTGCAGATGCAGCCGGGACCTATTAATGTTCCCACTGCTGGGGCACAGACCTTCCCTATGAATGGAATAGGGAGATTGGACCATGACCCACCACGCGGGCCCAGTACGGATTGGCGGGTGCTAACGACTGCAGATGCAGCCGGGACCAACGGCTTAACGTGCCTTCCGAAGCACAGAGGAACTCGAGATAGAGGTTTTTTGGTCACCCATCCAATGACCGACCACTGCGAATGTTGCTTAAACATGACAAACTTGTTCTGTGAACATTGATGGATAAGCAATTTTCACTTTAGTTGCACACTATAAATGACAAAAGAGTTAGCAAATAGGCCAGCTGCTCAAATAGAGATGTTACTATACCATACCTGTGCCATTTTATTGAGTAAGAACAACTTGGGCATTTCTTCAATGGAGCGTTGGCCCCATTCAAATACAAATCTTGCTAAGTCACCTTCACCAACCTTGAAATGAGAATTTTATTGTTAATAACAATCTCACAATCGTTTTAAATAAAATAGACCATTGTCACATATTGAAACCCAATCTGAACTGATCTAGAACAGATTTCAGGTCTAAATTCTTATAAAAACAACTTCGTTTAAGAAGCTTCAAAATTTCTCCCCAAATTAAGATATCTTGAATAATAAATAAATTGTAGAATAATGATGATCAACAACATATTACTCTACAATTTACCGATTACTAGCAGATGTCTATGACTTTGTCTGCATGGAAATATTTGCCATACATACCATACAAATTCTGAATACCCTTATTAACCCTTTAGTGGGTGAGTTTTGGAAAACCCTTTCTTTGCGCACGCCTACATCATAATAGACATCTATATGTGTGGCAAATTTCAGCAAAATCTGTTCAGTAGTTTGAGCTGTGCGTTGATAGATCAATCAATAAAGGTTGCCTATGCAGAAGATATGAGATATTTGACAGTGAACCGGAATGATGGTGGAAACCAGCGGAAACAATAGTGACCCATCTTCACCTACTTGATACACCGCCTGCTAGGTCCGGATTTAGTCTTCAAAAGACTTGTACCTAACAAGTTGGCAGCCCATCGCCAATAATATTTTCCAATGCGACATTGTTAGATTTTCCTTCTAATTTATTTCTTATATTTATAATGTCAGCATTGCTGTAACATCTGTGTAATAATTCTTTTTAACTGCCTAACTTAAAGATATAAAACTGAGAAAACATCATTAATTTTCGTGAAATGTTCCCATTTTTTTATACAAGTAGATTTCTTATGATACCTTTGAGTAGATCAAATACATCTGCTTGGTGAATGTGTTTGTGAGTATTTTTCTTCCAACATGGTCATTTTCTTCTAAAAGACCAGCTTCATTTAAAAATTTCCACATATCATCTAAAAATACAAATCACACAAATATTATAAAGGCGAAAGTTTGTGATAGTGTATGTTTGTTACTTCTTAATGTCTAAATGGCTGGGGTAATTTTAATAAAATTTGGTATGGAGTAAGCTGACACCCTGGATTAACATTTGTCTACAGAACTAATTTTTGATAGCTTCAAAATAGCTGAAAAAATGAACGCTGGTTGCTTTCTGCTTAACACAATTAATTTTATTCTTCTAGTTGTTTTAAAAATAGTTGTAATTAATGTATCTAATTTGAATAAAAAACATTGAGTTTTTCTTTGCATCTTTGGAATCAAGTTCAAACATTAGGTACATAGTTTAATAATCAATGGCTTTTTATTGTGAATAATATATTAAAGTACTTGGGGAAGAACTTATATTCTAATAGATGGTTATGCATATTAAATGAAAGAAAGCTTATCTTTATATAACCAACTGCTTATAAAACTGAAAAGGAGATTAAATATAGGGGTTACGAACTAATATATCAGAGACAAAATCGAAAAACAATGAACAGCAAACTCTTAAAAAATGTATACCTAATTCATTGAATTATAATTATTAATCAGTGAATGTTTTACAAACCACAATTTATAATTATCAAGAGGTGGTATGGCATGCTGAAATAAGTAGGTAATGGTGTCAATTTTGAAATGATTCTCTAAACCTAAAATTAAATTGTATCCTTGTCATTCTCTATACAGAATAAAAATTAGAGACTCATGTTAAATTTAGTTTTCAAGTTTAGAAAATCATGCTTGAATCCACATCAATATTGATAATTTTAGTAGTGGCCATGTCTCAGTAGGCTCAAGCTATATATTAATGCTATTAAACTTAATTCTCTGTAACATACTTCTGAATGTCCTGAGAGGCCTGCTCAATAAGCTACATATTAGAAAATCATGCAAAATGTTCACCTTCTTTGACTGGTCCTCCGCTCATAAATATATGTGTGAGAGCTGCAATCAACAGCCTCGTGTGATGAGGATCAACAGCAATGGAGTCTAGACCCTCATTCTCTTCAGTAAGGATCACAATATACTGTATACCACCTTTCGCCTCCACTTGCACTAGTTTATATCCATAAATCTGTGAAAAATATTACAGTACCATTATTAATAAAGAAGACTAATATTTTTTTTAATAATAAGAATAAAATGTTAAGCTTGCGTGCTAAGCCATTGTCAAAATCTTAACATTTTAGAATTCGAGATGAGTATTTTATGATTATGAATAAAGTTATATTGTACCCGTTTTAACAATTTGTTAGCTTCAATCATGACAGTGTTTATCTGATTATTTGGTGTCTGGCAGGTGGTATTCAAATGTGACGATATTTCAGCCCTCTTGATTGGTTTCTTGCTACCTTCCCGGCATATTATAAAACGTACACATTCTTTGATAGCTTCTTCCAGGTGCATACTAATTTCTCCTTCGTTTGTAGTATTTGTACGGTTAGCTCGACGTTGACTCATTGCTATTACGATTTACAGACAAAACAAGGTAAACACTCAAATTTTCTCGGTAGAGAGTAATAAATTAATATTATTGTTTCCAGGCTCAAACTACGCTCAAATTCCCAGGTGACCAAACTGACAAACAAGCGTTTTTTTTTATTCTCCTTTTTTTAGGGAAAGCAAAGGAAACAATACCCATACAGCCTAGTTTTGAGTTATTGTTTTGTTTAAATCAGTTTTTTTGGCGATATGGGCGAAATCAATGGAACTCTTTAATTACAAACAGTATTACAGTACTCAATACGTGTTAGTTTATTTTAAGAGATATGAAAGAAATAAAGACTTAGTTGATGTTACTCGGCTTATAAAGAGTGGAAAATAAAAACCTTTTTTAACAAAAATAAAACACGATTTCTAAATAACAAAACAAAACCACAAAAAGTAAACAATTATGCTGTACCCTTAGCACAAACCAATATCGAATTCGTACGGTTTGCAAGTAAGAAATGTCATTATCGTATGTGTACATTATGGCGCTAATGTTCAAGTTTTCATACAAGACAAATGACATTTCACACTCGCAAACTATTCGAATTCGATAATGGTTCGTCCTAGGGGTTTGTTTACTTAAACTAAAGTACATTGAAAGTCAAATTAACATTTGTAGTTGGTGCCATGCATTTTGATAAACCTCGCCTTCCTTCCGCCCGCACCGCCACCAAATGTTAATTTAACTTCAAATGATGGAATAGTTTTGAATAGGCTATAGGTACAAGTGAAGAATGTTATTATTTCTTACTTTTAGACTATTTCGAGATTTATTCGATTGAAACGAGAATTGGGCCCCTGGTTCGAGTCCAGCTTAACTGGCCTGACCTTGAACGAGTTTATTATTTTCTAGATTTATTTTTATTTATTTGATTAAAGTACAACTGTACAACCTACATATTTTGTAATATTTTGAAAGATGCTATTTAAAAGTATTTAACATGAATATTGGGTGCGATTTCACTATTCTGAAATTGGTAGTAAAAAGTATGAATGAATGAATGAATGAATATATTCTTTATTGCACTATTACACACAATGCAGAGAACATAAAACACAGAAACAAAAACACAAAAGGCGGCCTTATTGCTAAGGTAGCAATCTACCAGGCAACCTTTGGCTAAATGAAACCATACCATAAGAATAGTGGAATCAGCGGGCTAGTGCATTGTAAAAATAAATAAATAAACATAAATATAATAATATACAATATAGTAAGTATGTAAGGAAGCTATAAAATACAATAAATAGTAATAAACAGATAAAAAGATCAGGCAGAGTCCAGCTTGAGGAAATATTCCTTAATTTTAATAGTAAAGGAGTCCCTCGTCTGTGCACGTTTAATATCCAAAGGCAAAGCGTTCCACAGTTTAACAGCTCTTACATAAAATGACTTGGCCACGAAATCAGTGGAGTGGGGTGGGATAACTAAGGATAAGTTATGAGAAGACCGAAGATCACGGACAGGATTAAAAGAGTGAAATGCGAAACGCTCCTTAAGATAGAGAGGAGTGTGCGGATGAAAGAGGATAGAATAAAGGAGTGATAGGATGTGACAGTCTCTTCTACGAGAAATGGGTAGCCATTGAAGTTGGGAACGATAATGAGAAATATGGTCGTACTTACGTAGACCAAAAATGAATCGAATGCATAAATTCTGCAGACGCTCGAGTTTATTAAGAAGAACAACACTAAGGTCAGAGTAACACGCATCGGCATAGTCAAGCAACGGAAGAAGAAGGGACTGCGCAAGAGAAATTTTAGTCTTGGTCGGCAACATGTTTTTCAGGCGTTTCAGCGAGCCATACGCGCCAAATACACTCCTACTAACTTCACCGACATGGTGGCTCCAAGACAAGTTATTGTCGAACAACACGCCAAGATTTTTTACAGTGTCCTGAAGTGGTATAGGGATGCCGTTTAACAGGATCGGTGGCAAAGCGCTTTTATTAATTCGAGCATTATACTAATGGCTTCCAATAATTATAGCCTGAGTTTTGCGCGGGTTAACCAACAGACCGTGTCGCCGACTCCAGTCATATATGTGTTCCAGGTCGTTGTTCGTAACTGCGATGGCTGTAGGAAGTTCATCTAAAGAAGTTTGTGTATATATTTGGAGATCGTCTGCATACATATGATAGGAAGAAGAGAGAGGAAGAGTTATTGAATTTATGAAAATAGAAAAGAGAAGAGGAGACATAACGCTACCCTGCGGTACGCCGGCTGTTGTGTCGCACCATGATGAAAAATATCCATCCACACATATGCGCTGCCGTCTCCCATGCAGGTAACTATGAAACCAATCAATCACTGGCGGAGATACATTGAGAGAAACCAACATTGCCAATAAAATATCACAATCAACCATATTAAATGCGTTACTAAAATCTAACAGCGTTAATACAGTGAGCTGCCGATTTTCCATACCCACACGTATATCATCTGCGATCTTGACAAGTGCAGTAGTCGTACTATGACCGGGACGGAAACCAGATTGAAATGGATTTAGAAGATTGTTCATGGAAAGGAATCTACTTAACTGTTGATGGACTAATTTTTCGAGGACTTTGGAAAGGAAAGGCAATATTGAAATAGGGCGATAATCATTGAAGGAATCAGGCTTGGATTTCTTAGGTATGGGAATAATATTAGCTTCTTTCCATGCTGAAGGATAAACAGATGACGAAATGGATTTATTAAGGATTTTAGTACTTACAGGAGTGAGGATATCTAGAAGAGGAATGATCATATTGCGACTAATGCAGTCGCTACCCACGGCATTGGACGATACAGCAATGATGTTCCTCTCAACGTCACACTCAGTAAATTGCTTTATGATAAAAGGAGTAAAAGATGGTGTTGGCGACGAAGAAAGCGTATTCAAAGTATGACTTTTGATTATTCCATCCATGGACGCAGATAAGGAAAAGTGAGCATTTAAAGCATTGATATCACAATTTGAAGGAGAGGTAGAGTTGCGTTTAGCTTTGCCAATACCAAGCTTATTGAGAAAGCGCCAAACTTCGGCGGAGTCACCGTTTTCGACAGACGTATGAATGTGGCGTCTTTGTTTATTCCTAATCAATGTATTGCAGCGATTCCTTATTTCCCTATATCTGGAACGATTGGCATCTGTTGGATTATTTTTGAATTTTGTTTTTGCGCGGGTCTTTTTTTCTATTATTGTGCGTATGTCCTCCGTAAGCAGGACCTAAGCAGGACCAGGTCCTCCGTAAGTAGTTATTTGATAAAGAAAAAGTCGCACTACTAGTTTACCAACTTATTTTAATATAAATTTCGTGATGCGACACGAAACGTGCGGCGCAAGCCGGCCGGCTTCGAAGCGTACCCAGCAGCGTCCCACGCTCTGTGCGGGGTGACCGCTTCCATCCATTTCAGCGCTTTAAAATTCACGCAATGTAGTTCACAAAACATCAATATCGTAAAGAAAAGATCTGCACATGGCGTCCACTAGCATACTATCTCGCTCACAATCTATCGCTGTCTATATTCACACAGTGAAATACGCACTGCAAATAAACCGGATATGTGCTGTTCATATGCGATAGACGTGAAACCTACAAAAATGTGAACACGTCAAAGTCCTTACAACACCAATAATGAAACTCTTCACATCACCGGAATATAATACATTCCGTAGGTTTATCAACTTTCGTAAGAATATAAATGAGAGATAAAATGTTATCTTACGGGGACATTTTTTGTAAATTAATCAATTTACGACGTCTTGCAGTAAATTGATAAACTTACTTAAAATGTCAAGCCTATCAACGTAAAATTCTACGACAATTAAATTTACGTAAAATAGTACACAGCTTTCTGATTGGTCGCCGTTAGCGACTTCGGTGCTTGCCGCCATAGAATTAGATACGATCAGACTTACCAAATAAATAATTAATTGCTGTAGTAAAAAGTGGAATTGTCTTATCTTGTCTGGCTTATTTGTTTCGAATTGGATAAACTTTATTTGCAGGAATGTGGTACAACTTACATTCAGATATCCTAAATACATTGTTTAAGTTCAGCATATTCTACCTCACAGAGGTATGCAAATATTTTCATATACAAGATGACTGTATAAGTGCCTATAAGGCTAAACTGTACTTCCAGGGCCCAAGCGGCGATACTTCACACTAAGTTAAGTTAGATTAGTGTTGTGACCATGACGCGCAAACCGAGAGAGCAAAGCGAGCGTACCGCGGTAGCGGCCGGCGCGGCGCCGCGCCGCGGCGAAGCGCCAGAAACAAATTGTTAAAAGAGACCTTCTACAAAAAAAACAAGTATAACAACAAAGCACCTCTTGGGCCCTGGAAGTATAGTTATAACCTATAATACCTTCGTCGCATTTTTTAATTTTTGTTCGGTCCATTCCGACTTTTCACTGGCTATGTCTTTTCGTGTCTACTAAAAAACTTTTGTAGCTCTACGTAAAATTTTTGCTACTTGTTGGTCTATTTTACACACCAACAACCAAAATCAACTATTTTCACTGTAAAATAAACCGAAAACTTTAAAAAACATACGCTATCTGTTGTATTTATTTTCCGCAGGCGTCAATGCCGGTAAGGAGGGAGGGGACATATCACATGATTTATTTAGTCAATCACAGCACTTGTTGCATTTTATTTTTGCTCACGTATTATTTTTCGGCTAAGATCGGTTAATTGATCTATTTACGAAAATGTTCCCGTAAGATAATACATTTTATCTCTCTTTTACATACTTACGAAAGTTGATAAATTTACTAGGAAATTGATAAAGTTACGGAATGTACCTATTATATTCCGATGACATAAAATTATATGAGTGATACGTGCGCTGCTCCTTTCCCCTATGCACCGCCGAATGGTTATTTTAAGAAAAGAAGTTTCACTTCAAATGTGTGGTGCACACAATTTTTTTCTATTGCAATAAAGCGCTTCATCCGCTACACGGCTACACTCTAAACTTTTTCGGAGCCCGCCAACCAACACCAGCCATTCATTAACCTCAGACAACTCACTCTCACTCAGTCAGACGCTCAGCGCTCTCCCGCGTCCGCACGACTTCGTAAATCGGAGTATTTTTTAATCTAATAATATCGGAATCGACGTCATTTCAACAAACTTGTAAGTTTTCTATTTCAATTTTATTGTTGTTTAGGGATCTTAGAATTAAAATTGATTTGGAGGAAGCCTAAATTTTGTTAGGTTATAAATAGGAATGTTGATTGCTGATTACAGAAAGTACATTGATCCCTTTTGATTTTTCGTGTGACATAATTAGCAATATTACCGTATTCAGT